TATATATATATATATATGCAAAGCTACAAAAATATGTCCATCTACAAAAAAACTGAAAACTAACTCTGTAGAGCATCCCTGCAGTGAAACATGGTGGTGGCAGAATCATGATGTGGCGTCTTTGTCAGACTTGATGGGAAGGATAATAACAAAGGTGTTATGAAATAATATCGAGTCACCCTCTCCTCGTCACAATACAGATAAAAACAAAATAGATTTAGTGAGCATTTTCATTTATTGACATTTTTATCCAGTTTTGAACAGATATTTGGTATTTAGTCCTCATGTAACAGCAAGGCAGCTTTGTGGTGATACTGAAATACACAAAAATGTTTTCACTCAACATTTTCAACAGGTAGTAAAACAAGTAGTGCGATTCATGACAATAAATAAACATAAATCATATTAACGTTGCAAAAAACAAACAAAATCAAAGGTAAAAAAAATATATAACCTCAGTGACTCTTAGACAAAAAGACTGTGCTGTATGTGTTCAAGTGTGAATGCACCATCCTCTGCCGCCGTTTCAAACATGGCAGCTTACGTAGCTAAAAGAGTGCATTCAAGTGATTCATAAGTGTGGCTAAGAGGAACAAAAACTACTCAGAAGATTAATTAAACTTCACATGAAATTGGTATCAGCTGTGTTGCATTAAGGATAGAATAGCTTGTCACCATTAAACACCTGGATGTCAAAGTTTTTCCTGCTGCTATGGCCTCAATGTTTCTGTGTGTGAGAGAAACATTCAGCTACAAGAACAGTCATTATTCTCAACTCTATCTTATTTACAGTACAAAGCCTCTCTGCCCTACATACACAAATTTATACAGATATAAAAAGATGAGCCCCAAAGCATTCTGGACAGAAACAGTACAATCTATTGCTACAAACTAATATGCTTGCCAGACACAATAAAGGGTTTAGTGCTTTGCATGACAAAATCTTTTATTCTAACACAGGAAAGCTATTGGGCTTTCAGGCTGGCTTATACGCCAAGCAGTTTTTTTTCTGTCACATTTAATGTAAACATTGCACCCGTAAACAAATCTCCTCAAATATTTATGTATTTATTTATTCATTTATTTATTCATTTATTTATTTATTTGTTTATTTTACAAATGACCATAATCAGACATTGAGACCATGACGGTTTGCTGACTGATAATAATTTAGAGAATGGGATTGGATGATTTCTGTAGTGGTCATCAAATTTAATTGGTTTTAGCCTAATTCATGCTGAGACATGACCCAACCCTTCACCACTCAGACATTTCTGTTGGAAATTAAAATAAGATTAATCTGCATCAGATATTTTTATTTTGCATTACCTGAAGGTGGCAACTTGCAACAATTACATAGATGGCATGCTGTGACCCTTTAAATGTGGGATATTTAGGTTTTAAATTCCCATTGATTGCTCCTATAAAAATATACCCTAATTACATTAAGTACTAACAACTAGCTGTTATTTAAGCCAATAAAAATGTATTTCTTTCCCTTTTAAATGTCCTAGAGCTAAATAAGAAAGTTCACAAAGTCTGTACAGTCTCTCTGTTAGCCACAATGTTGTTATGTATATGACAGTCATATTGGCTATTGAAAGGCCTGCCTTTGACTTATGGAGTTTTAATTTAGACTTCAGGGGATGTTTGATTTGATTCTTCCAACTTGGAACTAGAAAAACGCAACTTCTGCATACCAGCGACTCTCTCGCCTCACAAGGAAAAGAGAAAGAAATGACAGCAGGAATGTTGTTGCAAGCAAACTCATTGTCTCACACTATCCTGAGGTTGGCGGGACTTGCATATGTGCTATTAATACATTTGAGGTTTGACAGAATCTTTAATCCACCCTCAGTTCTTATTTTTAAAGTATTTTAGGTATTGCTATTAAGCTAGTTCCAAACATAACACCCCGACTGGAATACAGTCAGTGACAGATTGAGCGCAGACAAATACCGTTCATGGATTAGTGTGTGATGAGAAGGACAGTGTCACTGATAGCAAACTGATTTAAATGAATAAGAAACCCCTTTGTATCCAAAGTTGTTGACAAACTAAAAAATATCCTTTCGATATTTTACTATTTTTGTGCATTACAACTCACAGCTACCGAAGGATAAAAGAGGCAAACTACAAAACCCTTTACACTCAATGTCGATGAAAACCTTTAGCAATTGCTATCTTATTCATTATATGTTACATTTAGGAAGGAAATCTTCACATTAGAGACCTGTGCTCTTAGTTTGCACTTATCTACGTCTATGCTATATCCTATATGTTCTGGTTATACTTTAGGGATAAAAGGAAGTACTTCTAAGTCTTGTTTTCGGGTAATCCTGTCATCTTATTGAATGTGTTACTAACAGTGTCAAGTCCAGGCCTGTTTTTACAGTTACATGACAAGCTTTCTGGATGCCTCTCTGATATGCATCAGCAGCAACGCAGAGCTGGCAAAGCAATATCTGCGTTACATTATCTTGAAAGTCATTTTTGATTTATTTATTGTCTTATGAAAAACACCAGAAAGAGCGTTTGACTCGACTTGTAGGAGGATGCCATTTTCAACGGCGATGACATCAGAAGACCGACGTCTCCGTGACATACCACATGCGGTTCTTCTGTAGTTTTATTGGGAAGAGGCTGAGATGAGATGGTTCAGATTGTGAAAGCGGATGTTTCTCGGAAATGGTTGATGTTAGGCACTTAAACGAAGAGGTAGCCTGAGTGGGACTGTCAAATGTGAAATAAAGAAAGACACAGTTTGAAATGTTGATTCTGTTTAGAGTTCTCATGTCCTTCATCCACTAAATTATTCATCTTCCTCCTGTTCTATATTTGGCATGGAAGGGAGTATAATGTCATTGCAAACATGCTGATTTCCGTTCACTAGATGCTTTATCTCTACCAGACACTTTAATGTTTTTTTATTTCTGTGCTGACCTTGAATGAATATGTCCATGATTTGAGTTTCCTACATACTTTTATTTTGATTTTCTATGTAGGCTTGACTGATGAGTTCATCAGAGGTACTTTTATAAGGAAACTGCTGAGTCTCGTTCATGTCTGTATTTTCCCTCGTGAATCACATGACTCATGCAATGTGTATGTCTCTATTAATATCTCAGTGTGTTTGTTGTTTCACTTGCGCATCAGTAACGTATTGCAAATTTTTCACTTCTTATCAAACTCCTAATTTGTCAGAATTGAAGAAACGTTACCAAGACACTCATTCACCAATGTGACATTTCAAAGTAGGGTGTGACTTCTCTTGGTATTTCCAAGTTGGTAGTCCCTCGATAGACAGCTGAGCACTGCTTGGTTTGAAATGGTTATCTGTGCCAAACTTATCAGAATCATTATTTGTAAAGGTCTGAACAAATCTTGTTACAACCTGTAGGTGGATGTTATGGTAAAGACATACAGACTGCTGAGGAGGTATTCATATCACTTGAACGCTTCACTTTTTTTTTTTTACATTGCAAACTGCAAACTTCAGTGTTTTTATTGGGATTTTTTGCTGTAGACCAAGACAAATTGGTGCATAATTTTGAAGTGGAAGGAAAATGATAAATTGTTTGAATTTTTTTTCTACAAATAAAGTATGAAAAGTGTGGTGTGCAAGGACCCAGTCCTCCTAAGTGAATGCTATAACTACAGCTAAGTCATTTGGGAATACCTCTCTGCCAGCTTTGCAAACTTAGCGACTGACATTTTTGCTCATTCACAGTCAGACTGAATAGTTAGTGTTGGCGAACATAAATCTTCTAGTCTTGCCAAAGTTTCTCAATGGGATTTAATACATTTTCATTCAGTTTTGGATGTACATTTACTACTCTTATGATGAATTGAAGAGTGCTTTATGTGACGCTCAAAGTTTGGGACCTAATCCTACATTAAAATTCTCCACAACGTTTTTTTCTGACTTGTCTATCTGCAGGTGTTTAAATCCAGTCTGGTGCCTTTTTGCATATAATTTGCATGTTCTGAGTTCTCTTCAGGTACTCCTGCTTCCTCCCTCTGTATGAAAACATGCAAGTCAGGTTAAATTATCAAAGTGTTCGCATGAATCTGTCATGATGCCCTGAGACGGACTGGATTGTCCTCGCTCTACTCTGCATGGAAAAAATGGTGGATGGAGGATTTTTCTTCCACTTCCCAGTCATGGACTAACTTGTGTTGTGCAGAAGTTTTTGGTTGTAATGTGTCCAAAATGTGAAAAAGCGTAAGTACCTAAATACTCACAAAGCATTGTAAATGTACACACCCTCACAAGCCAGGGCTAAAGATGTTTCTCAGCCTCAGTTTGTGTCATCACATTGGGCTACCTGTGGGTCAAAGGGAAGTCTCCACACAGGAGCCATTCCTGTGCAAAGAGCGATGGTCGTGATTGAGGCATCCTTCGTTGCGATGCACAATGAGCACAGGAAAGCACAGAGCGTCCTGATAGGCCGGAGGGTTCTCCTCATTAGTCTGCTGACCTGACAGACAGCGAGTGCTCTCGGTGGGACAGGACTGCTCATTCAGGCTCCCGCTGCTCCTCCACAGGCAGCTCCGCCTGGACCCATACAGCCGGCCCAGAGAGAAGCGGCTGGCGCTGAAGGGGATGCGGGGGCTCGCTGTGTTGCAAATGCTCAGGGCGCTGCGGGAGAAGATGGAGGAGCTGCTGATGGCGCGGTGGCAGCGTTCACAATTCTGCCTGTAGCTGCCGTACCGCCCACTTGTGGAGTAGCTGTTGCAGCTTCCAGAAAGCTGGGCTAGATCCATCAGGACTGCCTCCGAGTAGCTGGGCACTAGCTGCTGGTTGGAGCGAATGTGCCACTCTAGCTCCGTGCTGTCGATGGTGTTGACCCGTGGGATGTGTTGGCAATACGGACGCTCCTCGGATGGCGTTGCTGGCACATAGTCAAAGCCAAACAGCTTCTCCACGTGGTAGTGCACGCAGGCTGTGCGGTACTCCGTCAGCACCCGCAATGGCCAAGAGAGAGTGAACGCAGCTGCCACCCAGAAAGCAGAGTTGGAAGCATACCAGGGAGGATGGTTCAGGTCAGAAAAGGCAATCATGTGCTCCTTAAAGTCCACATTCTTTAAGTGCATCCCCTCACGGGCCTCCATGTAATCATCCAGGCCCTCATTTTCTGTAAAGAAGCGAGCCCGCTGCGTCAGGTAGGTGTTTTCTGACTCCACGTTGGCAAAGCTAAAGCACTTCGTGAACCTCAGCCTGCTAATTGGGAATCCCTCCAAACCTAGCAGCTGCTTCGAGATATCCTTAACGCCACAGTTCCCAAAGTCAAACTCTGTCTCAGCCACATGCGTGTTCACTCTCTCGTGGTAAACCTGCGTGGTGGTGTATGCGTCTCCATTGCGGTAGCGCGTCACCTGTCGTGTCCTCCTGACATAGTGGTAGTTGATGGCCTTCCACCAGATGCAGGGCGTGGCCTGCTGCATTCGTTGTATGCGCTCGGCCACGCTGTCCACATCCACCTTGTACACCAGGTCGTTCCGGGCGTAGCAATGCCAGCACTCTACAAGGTAGACCACATAGAGCATGACCAGGAAAGCCAGGGGGATGTAGATGTAACCATTGGAGCAGGGACTGTCGTGATACATCATGGACTTCCCCTTGTAAGCGCTGTCGAAGGAGAGACGCGTGACCTTGGTCACCTGGCACCAGGCTATCACTCCTACGCAGCCATACATCAACAGGGACAGCAGAAGGCATTTCCAGTGAGACTCCTGGCACAAAGACTTGGTCAGAGACTGTTTCTGAGGATGCTGCTGCAAGAAAAGAAGGGCAAACAGAAGTCAGTAGTAATAGTAAAAGTGACCTGTTATGCTTCCTTAAAGAGGTTAGGGTAGGTCTGCGGTCTACACAAAACATGTTCATTACATTTCTTGCGCTCCATTTTGAGCCCCTTTCAGAATGAGTTGTTTTAGAGCCTCTTGTCACTTTAAATCCAAATAAGCTGCTGCGGGCCACGCCCACCAGCTCAATTTGAAAGTGGCTGCAAACAGATGCGCAATTATACACATCTGTATGAAAAGCAGAAGTAGAGCAGCAGCAAGTGGTTTCTAGATGGTAAGTGAACAAACCACTTGTTTTTCTTTTATAGCAGCCTTTGTACAACGCATACAGCTGTAAAATCAGCTGGCCAAACGTCCTGGACCTCCACTTGGGTTGCTAGGTGACCGGCTGGGCTTTGCTGGGGTTGCTAGATAACGCACTGGGTTTCTCTGAGGTTGCTAGGTGTTGGGTGCCTGCTGATTTGTAAAGGTACATTCTGGAAGTTTTTGAAATGGCTCATTTCCCAGACACCAAAAAACATTGACTTACTGCTAAAAAAAAAAAATAGCAAAAAGCTGTGTGGTTTTTTAAGCACTTGGTCAGTTTATAAAAGCAGTAGAAACATCAAGATTGCACAAAACTTGATTTTTCTTTGTTTTTGTTTTTTTATAAATACAACAAATATAACAAGACTTGACATGAACTAACATGTAAATACAAAAGTTAAAGGTAGGGGCTCATGCAACTAAAATATTTATACAAATTCTCTGCTTCATAAGTGCTTTTGCATAGTTTATGCATGAGTTGTATCAACCTGCCTGATGTTTTTAACTGTGCAAGCCAAGAAATAATTACCTGATTCACACATTGGCAATGGAAACACTTCTGACAAGTCTAAAATCTTATTATCAGCAGCTGTCACTTCTATCAGTTTACATACATTTGGTAAAAGAGTAGGCGTCCAAGTTTGTCCTTCACTGCTCAGCATTTTTATCCATTTGTTCTGGTCCAATCAACTGAGATACTGTCTCACATTTTGCTAAAAAAAAAACATGGCAGTGCAGCAACATGTTGCAGGGATGTCATGCATTAGCAAAGCTTTAATTTGGAAGCTATTAGCAGACATATGTGTTTTTCTATGTTTTTGCATAATAACAAAATAGCAATACATAAATTAAAAAAGAAAATATATGACTGTAATAATCAGTTATTTTGTGAGTTGCAGCAGAAATAACAGCTTGTTTTTCTTTTTGTTTAATAAAAGAAATTAGATCATGTTTAATTTAAATATCTTTGTAAACACTATCATGCAGTGAAACCACTTTTATTAAAGGTTATAATATAGTAATAATCTCTTACCAGTCCTTGTCTACACAAAAGTAAGATTTATGTCACAACAATCAAAACAACTACTGCAGTTGTGCAGGTTTTTCTGTAGGTCTTGGTGAAAATTACCATAAAAACAGCAAAACCAGAACAATATTGTTTTGTTTTTGTTATTTTAGCATGAACTGTGTCTCATATAAGCATGCTTTGATCTGCAATGGGTTGACTGGTTGAAATCTGGCCATTTTAGATGATGTGAACAGTGTCCAAAAACACTCAAAATAATATCTAGATTAATATTTTTGTTATAGCAGTCTTTTTATTAAAGTGAAAAAATATATAAATATTTATTATATGTTGTATGCCAAATCCACCTTGAGTGTTTGCTGCTGGATAGCTGTATTGTAGTCTTGGGATTTAGGTATGAGGACTGAAATAACTAAGAAAGAAAGCTGAATGTGTTCGTTTTCATCCAATTCTGGGTTGATTTGCCTATAAAAGTTTTAGATTATTAACCAGCTAAAACGCCTAAAGGAATCCATTTTAAATTTTCCTTTAGACGCTCAGATTTTAATTTAAAACGTCTTTATGTTTTAAATAGTCCATTATAATGTGGATTTTACAAGATTGAAAGAAAAGTAGCGCTGCAGGTTATTCACTAACAGGATATCTTCATCTGTTATTTCACCTCAGACCTATACTGCAGAGAAAGCTATTCAGATATAAATATAATAAATGTTAAAAAGGTTTCACCTACATGTATTTTACATGAATTCTTCAAGGCACATGTGATTTTGTAAAATAACTTTCAAGAACAAAGACTGGGTTTTTATTTATTCTTTACTTTGAGATTAAGTTACTGCAGTAAAGTAAGTAATAAGTGTTCTTACAATGCAGAGAAATAGTTAGTTAGCCAGCAGTGCCAATATTAGGGCTCAACTATAAAGCCAAACATTTATTTGACTCCTGCAGCATGAAGCCGATGGCATCATTTATCACCCCAGAGAAAAGCGGGTCCCAACGGCAGCATTAACAGCTAATCTAAAGAGCTACTGAGATTCAAAAGCCTCAGGAAGGACAGACGCTAGCAAAATAATTTACGTTGGACTTGTTAAATCAGATTGTGACTAATACTTTTGCACTCTCCATGTTTTATGCATTAGTTTCATAATGAATCCGACATATTGGTTCTGTGCTCTCTGAGTGACAGACAAACATAAATAATAGATGTTTCCTCCCCACCCTGGTCACATGATCCCCAAGTGTCTTGCCAACCTATAAGGCAACATCCCGCAGGGTGAAGGGGATAAACAGTGAAACTCCCTACTGAGAAAAACCAGTTGCAGGAAGACTATTTACTCAACAGAACCCTGCTCTTACTCCACTCACAATAATCAATACAACATGACATACTTTTAGGCTCATGTTACATTTTACAAGCTCTGTTCAAACACCACAGGCAATGATGTTTATGTGTACTTTATTCGGGAGTGTAAGAAATTTGGAAATAAATGCACTTGTGTGCAGTAAAAGATTGTTTTCTAAGTGAAACTGATCAGGCTTGATGTAAAAGGAACATTACACATAAATTTTAGTTGCAACAAATGAGATGCCAATTAAATATCCACAGCCTGAAAACATGAAAGAGCTGGTCATTAGAGCCGATAGCGGCGAAGGAAAGGAAGTGACTCAGCACTATAAACACTGTAAGGCAGACATTTCTGTTACAATAACAAAGGAAAATCCCTGCATTTAGTAAATAACACCAAACTGCTACACAAGAATGCCTCAAACAATTAAACGGGTTGAACTCACTACAGATTTCAGAAGCATTTGCCCTCATGATCAACATTTACGTCATACTGGTTTTCTGTCCATGCATTTCATTCAAGTGTCTGGAGGACTGAATCTCAGAATATCATCAACAATGTGAGGTCTGTCTCAGGTTGGTTGGTTGGTTGGTTAATCAGTCACGGTGATAAAAATCATTATTTAGTGTGGGCAGGTGTCAAGACCTGCTGGAAAAACAAACCACCGTCTCTTTAACACTTTTCAGCGGAGGGACGTGTGAACTGTTCTAAAATGTCCAAGTAGACTTCTGCGCTGACTCTGGGTTTGGTAAAACGCAGAGGGACCAACAGCAGCAGATGACATGGATTCTTCAACAATCAATGAAAGGAAACTTCACACTTGATTTCAAGCACCTTGGGTTACGTTTCTCTCCACTCTGCCTCCAGACTCTGGGACCTTGATTTCCAACTAAAATGCTAAAATTGGCTTTTATATGTCGTATTTGGTTCAGAAGTAGATTAACATAATAAATCCAACACTGGTATTCCATGTGCTGGATACTTCAGTGTGTGTTAGCTGTTGCAACTTTTTTTTTGGTAACTACACTTTTTCCTTCCACTAAACTTTCTATTAATCTGCAACATCCTGTGAGTAACCGGCTTCTCTAAATATTATAATAATATTTGTAATAATACATGAATCTCCATTTTTTTAAGGATTGTCCATTTTTTGGTCATTGATTAGCCCTTGGATTCATTCTACAACCAAATATAAAGAAAACATACATAGATGGAAAACTTACATTTTTAATTTTCTTGTGTATCTCACCAGCTTACAGTATACTCTTCAAAAGCCTCCACAGTTTGAGATGATACCTTATGTGCTCAGTTCAAATCAGTCCAGCAGTCTTCTTGAGTGGAAAAAAAAAACCTTCATTGTGCCTTTAAATAAATGTCTCACACACTCAGAGATACTTTTTCTTGACATAATAAGAACAGCTAGGTTACATAAAAAGCCTCTTGTGTAATGGATGTGTAACTTATCCAGCAGTCTGCAAGAAAGACGTGATATTATACCTTATAAAAAGTGCAGCAGCCAACTCATCAATGACAAGTTTAATTACATGCAAACGTGTGTAATTGCGTGTTTTTATAGTGAGGAAATCAAATATTTCCCTGCCAGAGTATATTTTGCTCTTGTGTGGCCCTTTCTTTGTTTTCCTTCTTTTCACACCTTTGATTGCCTGTTGGGATCCACTTCAGGATCCCCAATGAGGCTCATTTTGAAAGATGCACAGCAATGCCCGTTGTACAGTCACTGACTCCAATTAAACCCTAATCAGGTTGTTTTCATTAGCCTGCAGAGACCTATCATGGTAGCCTATTAACGAAATCAGTCAAACCGATTAAAGGCTGTATTCATTTATTCCTCCCATTGATCTGGAGTGATCTAAACGCTGCGAACAGCTTCTTACCTCCTCTCTGGGACTGGCCGCTGCCTCCTCTTGGACCGTGGTTGTGCTGCTCTCACTGGCCTCTGGAGCCGATGCTGGGGACATGATGACAGCGACACAAAAGCCGGAGCATGGATCTCCCGGTGGGATGGGTCTTTTCCAACGCAGGGCGACACATAAATACCCGGAGAACCCCCTCCGCACGTCATCTAACCCGTCCCAGTCCGTCCGGAACCAGAGGACAAGGGCTGGGGAGATGCCGCATCCCCTGCCTCTGTTTTTCCTTCTTTCTTTCCTTCTTTCAGATGGGACGCGTTCCGCTTTATTGAAAAGGAGCCCAATCAAAAGGCTGAGCAGTCCGCTGCAGGAAAAACAGTGCGAGGAAAGGGCAAACGCGGCATGCAGTCAGCTTCTCTCCGTTGCTGACGGTGAAGCCACAGTGAAAGTGTGATGCAGGACAAAGAGGCGAGACGGTGGGACACGTGTGAGCAGCCAGCCCGACAGCACAACGTAAATAATACACGAAGGAGCGCGGAGAGGCGCTGCTGCACAGGGAACCACCCTCTCTCTGCACACCACCGAAGACACGCACTGGCTGAGAGGTAGAGATAACAACCTTGTAGGCTTAAAGATTAAACCCAGTAGTGTATTTTTATTTATTTATTTATTTTATTTTTTTTTTTTGCACTAACAAAATGTGCACTGACAAAAACACACAAAGCTGGGTTATGACATGTTGACTTCTCCAGCAGGATCACTACACTTTTTTTTAAAAGTGCACTGAAAGAAATAAATCACATATTTTCTTTTGCATATTTTAGTTGATGACGTCACAAGAGGAAGAGAAATACAGCAACTCTTGACAGATTTCTACAAAGATTCTGAATTAATACGTTTGCAAATGAGTTGCAAGAGGTTATTAAAAGTTTTACAAGTAATGCATTCAAAACCATAAAAAAAATAAAAAAATAAAAAAATTCTTATCCAACATCTACAATCTAAATTGTAGTCACAAAAGTTGCTTACTGGCAACAACAATTCATTACCTTTTTGTAAATAAAATAAAAGTTAAAGCTAAAATGTATCTACAACAGCAGTTGAACAATCTTAAATCTTCAGGATGGTGTTAAAAATGCAGAGTCCTTTATAATTGCGTCAATTATAAATGATAATTGACGCAAACTGGTGTTCTCATTGCTGGAAAATGCTGAAAAACCGAGAATGAAACTTAACATACCATGTGGTTGACTGCGGTGTAGAGTAGTTGTTTTGTAATCCAAAAGTTGTGGGTTTGATTATACTCACCTCCTGCCACATGTTGATGTTCCACTGGGCAAAAACACAAGCTTTGCTGTATGAGTCTCTCTGTGTCTACTAGGAGGAGGCTGAGAAATCTAATAGAAAACAAGCACAAATAACGTAAACAGGGAGTGAAAATCCTAAAAATAAATTAGAAGTGGCAAATTATTTCATTATTTCATTATTGGCTGGTGATGTTGTAATGCAAATTAAAATTTTATTTTTTGCTAAACATATACAGTAACATGGTATACACAAAATTTCCACGTTAGATTTGTTGATAATCCAGCAGTTTCACTGTGAGAATGCTGCTTACATCAAAATTAAAGAACGGTTGCATTTATTGCAACAGTATGGGGGAGAAAAAAAACAAACACTTTTTTCTCTATTTTTTATAAACATAGTATTTTATACTCCTGAAATGACAACAGTTTTAGCCACATTTATTTTAGTTTTTGTACACTTCACATAAAACATGCCAGAAAAAAAAATCTGTTTCTCTGAACTACTTTGACTCTTATTCTAAAAAAAAATCGTTATGTACTTTGATTAAAAACATTGCCAACTAGTATTATCTCCCCATTCTTTACAGCTTACACAAAAAACTGAATTATCCATATAAAACCACTGCAGCTTGAGCTGAAAAAAATTCATATTTCTGTTGGTTTTATGTAACACCGTGACAATAAAGACACCATAATCTGTTTTTGCCGTGTGAGAAGGAGGAAAAACGATGACAACAAGGAGATTAAGCACATATGAAAAAAATATTTTCTTCCTTCTGTTTACATAAAAATCCTTTCACCACAGTCATCCACGGCACACAGCCCCGTTTCTTTTGCAACACCCACAGTTTGAACATTGGACCGGACGGCTGACACAAGGTGGAGCAAGTAAACATGACAGTGGATGACATGAAAGTAGTTGGCAGCTCCTGAGTAATAAAAATGTTCCTCTAGCATTTTCCGGCAGTCAGATTGTTTTATGGACTGCATTTATGGTTAATCTGGTCCTCTGAGAGCAGAGCAGCAGCTGTGGAAGTGGGCCCTCTAAAGGTCGAGCCACAGCAACAAAAAGGAAAAGAGCAAAATGAGATAGGCTACAATTCGCTTAGTGTTTGTGGTGTCAAATATCACAGTGCTCTGACATGAAACATTTATTAGTTCCTCCATGCAAATTTGCACAGAAACATGATGTACATTTCACTACACGATCCAGTTAAATAACAAGATCATGGTAAAATTACCACATTGTTGATTTGCAAATTTGTCCAATACAACATGGTGATATTTATATTGAAATGCTCAGTTTTACACTGAAATGCTCAGTTTTTGCTTGTTTGTAGAAAGCAACTTTGCCTCTAATGGAAAGTGTATCTGTGGCTTTGCAGCAACCAGTGACAGCCAAAGAGCTACTTCCTGTTTTCTGCTTTTAAAAATAAAACACATTTCCATAAAGATGTGTTATAATTACACTGCATCAAAACTGAGCTTCAGGAATTACATTTATTTAGTCCAAACAGGAACATCACTAGGAGTTTGGTCAGCAATTTTCATGGAGTAAATGCGAGTGTGTTTTCACATTATTTGTCTTTCCTGCAGGCTTATTGAGGATATTTCTTACACTCTTTGCCACATTTTAAGAATATGATTTTAGATGTTCCTCCACTGGGAGGTGTATTACTCTGTTTAGTAACTTTTGTTAAAACATTTGAATACCAGAGGTGGTGGCGCCTGACTTGGCCACCAGAATTAAACAGCAAAAGCAAACTGGTTTTCTCCTGAGAAAATGTGCCCTTCCAGTGTCAGTACCAGCAAATAGTCGCATATTCCAGCTTACAAATTATAGCTCTACAGTAAACAAACAACAAAAGACTGCCCTTTAGTGATCATGGCATCCTTTCATATCATGCAGGTTCAGTTCATGATATGAATTATAGGCAGCGCCCAGGGAGGCTTTAAAAACAGAATGCTAAAACTATCATTTTATTTACCTAAACACATTTTTCTAATGCTTTTATACACATGCTGTCAATGGAGAGTAGATGCACCCATGCACTGAGTCGGTGCCCCCTGTTTGCTGCTCAGAATAGAACGATCACGATGTGTTTGCTGTCAACCACACTGCCCACGTTGGGTGAGACTTAGTTATCCTGTGACACTTTTTCTTCTTTTAGCTGAGGTGTTTGAGCGAAACCTTTACCTATCCCCATCTGACTCAAGGTACTAAATTGCTACATATGTTAAAATCTGCAAATAGGCCTATTTGAGATGTAAAAAAATAAAATATCAAAATGTGTATAACTGCCTGTTTTAAACATCAAATATGCTTCAATGTACATTATTGTGCACAGTGCACCAATGGAATTATTATGTACAGTCTTCCTTCGTGCCACTCTTGTCCATCAGCTACAGCTGATCAAAATAAGTAGCGCTCCTGAATTGGTTACTTTGCAAATGCCAGCCGATAGTGTGTCAAGTAGCATTGCTCCTACCTTTACAATTTGCATTTTGTTTAAAATATTTTAGTTTGCACAAAACAATTTGTGAAAATACACAAGTCAGTAGTGATCCATCACCCTAAAAATTTTCTGAGAGGCCACTGGTTAAGCTCTGCAAGTAAATATATGCAAATAGACGGGGGTCAGCTGTATTTATAAACTATAACACAAAAACAAACTATATTAGGCTAATTTACCTCAACAAAAAAGAATAACATTCCAAGTTAGAGATCTGATCTAAAACCTCTTGTATGTCCAGCTGAAATTTGTTGGAATTTGTTGCAATTTGTACAAGTCCCTGTCTCTCAGAACAATAAAACATGGTCCCACTGTCTCTTGAATTGATTGAAAACAAAAGTCACATTTCCCTGTTGCTTGTTTAGTAGCTGTGTCTCGTTATTGTTTTATTCTGTATGATCTCTAGAGCGGCAGACAGGAAGTAGACTGAACTGCTACTGAAAACACCTGTTACTTGATACCCTTCATAGTTGAAAGCTTCAACTCTCCCAGCTTTAATTTTGAAATTCGTTTGCATTTCCGCCTTGAGAACGTTGGCTGCTGCTTTCTTTTCCGTGCGCGCGCGCCTGCTTGTTGTAGCTGTGTGCGCACGCGCGCGAGTGTTAGACGGAGTGTTTATTGCCGCACGCGCACTGGGGATTCCCCCGGTTGACAAAAACAGCTCTTCCAATCCTCGCCTTTCATTGCTCATATGCTCTCCGCCTCGAGCTCACGCTGTTACCGGATATCTAGTCGGCAACACAGCCGTTTCACCACTCTTCGCTTGTGTGTGTGTGTTTTTTTTTTTTTTTTTAAACCCGTTTTCGTCGCGTTAGGAGTAACGTGTCATGGTTTAATACTTTTTATTTTTATTTTACAAAAGCAAACAATCTCTTAGTTTTGAGGGTTTGTTACTGCAAGGGGAAGTACTTTATATCGGTTAGTGGAATGAGACTTAGCGGCTCGTTTCTCTGTTCTTATAAAGGAGCGGAGGTAGCCTGTCAGGGTTTCACCACCGAGCAGCCAGCGGCTACAACACCCGCTAGAAAACTGTAAATCATCCGGGAAGGAAGGCGGCTGTAGCGGGGGAAACCCAGGGAGGCCACCAGCGTTCACCATGTCGAGCGACGGTTGTGGCAAAGAGGACCTGCAAGAGGACATCCGCATGGACTCGGGCATTGAGTCTTATATCTCCATAGTAACTTCAGAGGAGCCCCGGGAACCGACCAGCGATTCCATCGGGCCGAGGGACAAGTTTTCCACCGGGGAGGAGCGCCTGGACTCAGCCTACACGTCCTCATCTATCACGGTGGAGAGCCTGTCGGACATCGTAGAGGGTTGCACTATCTCCAGCGCCGAGGATGTGCAAGCAAAGATGCCTGAACTTTCTAAACAAGAGAATTTACTCACAACTATTACAGAAGATGGAGACACGTAGGTTTTCTTTCCTTTTACAATCAATATCTCCACTTTCTGTAGAAGTACTCTTAAAATGGTCAAATTAGAATGTATTTATCTAAAATAAGCCAGTTACTAATAGTAAAATCACTCTTTATATCTTGAGAAATGCAGTTTTGACTATGCATTGCAAATATTTTCTTATGTTAAAAAAAAACAGTCACTGACTTCTTACATTTTTTTTTCACTTAGAACTAATTTATTCTAATTTGCATTTTTTTTTTTTTTTTGCTGGAGGAAAAAGTCCCTATAAAACTAGAATATCAGAGTAGATGCTTTTATTTCATCTGAGAACCTGAAACACCCATATAAGGGCAAGTGGCATTTCTTTCATTACTGTGAATCTAAAGGCTTGGTTTTCCC